GAGGACCATCTCACGAGGAAGAAGAAGTGCTGCTGTAGCCCCAAGTTTTCGCAAGTTATTACACATGCACCTGAATAATTATGTAAATATGTATGTTACTGTTACGGGACGAAAGAGACGTGAGACGTGTGGATCCATTTGCAAGCTTTATTTAGAAGACGTGGTCAGAAACAGGCATGGGTCAGACAATGGCAAACTGGTATGTAGAAGACAAGGCAAGAGCAGTCCAGTAAACAAGCGAGGGTCAGTCGACGGTAATCCAACAGGGCGAGACTAGAGGGATAATCAGACCTCCACAGCAGAGCAGACGGAGCAGAAGCCCACAAGGGCGGAGCATAAGACCACCAGAACCAGACAGAAGACCACCACGGCGGAGCAGATGGAGCAGAAGCCCACCATAACCAGACAGAAGACCACCACGGCGGAGCAGACGAAGCAGAAGACCACCACGGCGGGCCAGAGTGATCAGGAACCCATGGCAGGAACTGGAGTCTAGAGAAAACTGAAACACAGGAGACAAGACAGTGCATTTACGGTCTCAAGGGCCGGAACAGGACATGCAGATAGTTCTTTAACAGTCTCCTTGAGCTTGATAGACAGGCCAGGAACTGGATTGGCAGTGACAGGGTTAACAGTTCAGACATGGTGTGCGTTCTTAGTTTCTGGGCTCATGGCAGGCAGGGTTAAGAGTACAGAGGTGGGTTCTTGGGCTGTGACAGACAGGGCTGAGCGTGCAAGGAGCTGAAGCGAGTGCCTCCGCCTCAGAATGTTCTGCAGCATGTGCTGCCACCTCTGGTGAAGCTGCGGCAGGCGCCATCGCCTCAAGGACCACAGCAGCGAACACCACTACTTCGGGAAGTTCTGCAGCGTCAGCCGCCACCTCTGGAGACATCTTAGTGGGCGCCGCCATGAAATGAATGGACAGACAGATAATTCAGAAACAAATTCATTAGCAGCCCTTAGACGAACATACAGTTCACAGTCAGCCTCCATGACTGATTCAGAACAGGACGAGAGTTCAGAGATGGCCTCATCGGCTGATCCAGAGCATCTGACACCAGCGGTGGATCCTCCACGCTACATACCAGTCGGGAGTACAGACCAACTGACCTCGGACTTTTGGGTGCAGCAGACATGAAGTAACCAGATTCTGGGTGACCAGCTGTGATGTGATGTGATTCAGGATGATCAGCTGTGATGTGATGTGATTCAGGATGATCAGCTGTGATGTGACGTGACTCTGGATGATCAGTTGCGATGTGACGTGACTCTGGATGATCAGCTGCGATGTGACGTGACTCAGGATGATCAGCTGTGATGTGACGTGACTCTGGATGATCAGCTGCAATGTGATGTTACTCTGGATGATCAGCTGTGATGTGACGTGACTCTGGATGATCAGCTGCAATGTGATGTTACTCTGGATGATCAGCTGTGATGTGACGTGACTCTGGAAGATCAGCTGCAATGTGACGTGACTCTGGATGATCAGCTGTGATGTGACGTGACTCTGGAAGATCAGCTGAGACGTGACGTGACTCTGGATGATCAGTTGCGGTGTGACGAAGCTCTGGCAGATCAGTTGAGACATGACAAGACTCTGGAAGATCAGCTGTGGCGTGATGAGGCTCTGGAAGATCAGGTGAGACGTGACTGGACTTATGAGGAGCAGCTGTGACTTGACTTGACTCCTGACGCTCAACCGTGACTTGACTTGACTTACGAAGATCAACTATGACTTGACTTGACTCATGAAGATCAACTGTGATTTTACTTGCCTCATGACGATCAGTGATGATTTGACTTGACTCAGAATGATCAGCGATGACTTGACTTGACTCATGATGATCAACCGTGACTTGACTTGACTTACGAAGATCAACTATGACTTGTCTTGACTCATGAAGATCAACTGTGACTTGACTTTCCTCATGACGATCAGTGATGACTTGATTTGACTCAGAATGATCAGCGATAACTTGACTTGACTCATGAAGGGCAGCAGTAACATGACGGAGCGTTCTAGTCGCAGCCATTTTGTGAACAGTCTCCGCTGTCGCCGCCATTATGTGAGCGTGCTCTGGTGTAGCCACCATTTCACGAACGGGTTGAATCACCGGAGTAGCGATCAGTACACTTGAATGTCCCTGAACTTGTGGCTGACAAAATCTCACAGTCGCCATTACCGGCGCGGACGCGATGTTGCGTTCCTCCTCCGCGACACCCACAGTGAATAGAGAGCCAACAGTCAACAAAGCATAATCCAGAAACTGGCTGAGTGGATGGGGAGAAAGGTATTGTAATAATGTAAATTATGTAAAAATTATGTAAAAATAAATGAATAGTTTTTTCGAACCACCAAGCATGAGAGCATATTCTAGTACACCCCCAAAACAAATTCAAGACATTGTAAAAGAGCATAATAGGACCCCTTTAAGATGTTCCACATTGCTAGTGCTTGGATAAAGTTCTCTAGTGTCTTGCCACCTTCCTCTGTACCGATATATTTATTATTTAAAAATAAATCTTTCAGTTTACTTGATTTTCATTTTATTTGGTTTAGCATTTAATTTAGATTACAGTTAAATTATTTCAATATATTAATAATGTATTTAAATAATTTTATAAAATCCTGTGCCCCCCTGGTTGAGAACCACTGACTTAGAACCTAAACAGATCTTTCTCTCAATAATCACAGTTTAACAGAGACAAAATTACCAGTGGTGGAGGTAACGAATTACAACTACTCACGTTACTGTAATTAAGTCGTTTTCGGGTACTTGTACTTTTTTGAGTATATTTTTAAAGCTGTGCTTTTACTTGTACTTAAGTACAAATTAAGCAAAATAATCTACTTCGTTACTTTTAAATCATAGTTCGTTACTGAGTATGCCCACAATTTGAATTGATATTCAAACCTTTGACGGCACTTCAGTAGCCAATAAAGATATCCGATCGTGAAGGGACCAATAAAAGCCCTGATATCTGAAGGATTAAACCAATTTCAAAGCTTGAAATAATGATTGCCTTGAAAAATATGGATGGACAAAAAAAAATATTAAAAATATCTATATGGCAGTATACAGTATGGTGGTTTTGCCAGCTAGTCGTCAAGAAATCAAAAATGACCCTACTTACTTTTTAGTGCACATTACTAGTCTTGTGAACAATTAAACCGTGCAAGTCAATACACTGAAAAAAAATTGTCTGCCGTCATAATCTTTAAGAAAAATCTGAAAATTGGCTTCCGCTCTGAAATGGCGTTCTCGCTCTGATGATGTCAATTTGACGGCTTCGGGAGAATCCTCTTGTTAATTCATGACGTCAGGACTGCCGTTTCCGGGTCCATGCCTCTACTTATTTCACTTGAGAATACTATCTCAACAGCCATTTATGAGCATTATTTAATTAATAATACATATTTAAGCTAAGCATTTAAAAAAATTGCTGTGCACACTACAGTCTCCGTGCTCACAGTGTCTCAGACACTAATATTTTAGCTGAATCACTGTCAGGCTATCTGGGATTTCAGGTTAGGGTTATAATTTTTCAGTATTACATGACTTTGTGGGTGTATATTAGCACAGTTTGTTGTTTTTTGGGGGGCATCTGGCAGAGCTTTAGGACCCAGAAGTGGTGAAGCGTGATGTCAGACTTAACAAGCAGATATTCTTAACCGCTCCTATCCAACCGTGAATCTGCTATGAGCAAGAGGTGGAGAAGTCATATACACCTAGGATGCATCGGGGGTGAGTAAAACACAGCCTAATTTTTATTTTTGGGTGAACTAACCCTTTAAGTACAAATTTTAAGTACTCTTTCCACCACTGACAATTACACCTTATGAATTATATTACTGCACTCTGTGGCAGTTTGCACAATTTCTTACAAGTTAGTCATCTATTTTTTCCTTTAAAGGTCCAGTGTGTAATATTTAGGCAGATATATTTACAGAAGTGCAATATAATATACATAAATATGTTTTCAGTGCTGTATAAAGACCTTAAATAAGAATCGTTATGTTTTTATTACCTTAGAATAAGCAATTTCTATCTACATACAATGCAGGTCCCCTTACATGGAAGTCGCCATTTTGCAACGCCATGTTTCTACAGTAGCCCTAAATGGACAAAATGCTCTACAGAGCGTGTTTCGCCATTATGTTCTTCTTATTCATTGGTGTTTTTAGAGGCAGCTTGCATTGTCACTACGTTGAATATGCACAAAGAAGAAGACGAAGTAGTAGTAGTAGTTGTCTGGTTTATTAGAAGCAGAGGCCATACCTGCGGTACATACTCTGGTTGTTTGGTTGTTCCTGACTTTGCAAACGGGGAGAAAAACGCCTACTAAGCACTCGCTGGAACTCGCTGTCAGACTAAATGCATTGAACAGTGTAGCTATTTACCATTAGCTAGCTGCTTCACTACTCTTACCTTGTTCTAACTAGCATGCAAAAAAGCTAGCTAAAGTCAGCGAATAAAACACTAACACAATGATGAACAAGTAATATTCGCAATAACATATCAGTTTACTTAATAATTAAGTAAATATAATTTCTTAATTTACCTTTGTAATGAAACATTGCTTGACTGGTTACTCTCTGCTGTCTCAGACAACGACATCTTTGTCATGTGTCGGCCACCATATCTTCTCTATGTGCTTCGAAAGGGAGGGGTGAGCATTTATTGCAATTCGCAACCACACCACTAGATGCCTCTAAAATTTACACACTGCACCTTTAAGAATAGTCATAACTTTAATTGGTTGCATAAAAATGTATATTGGTCTATTTGAACTTGAAAAGTAAGACTGATTACTTCTTTGCTACTGTAACGGCTAGCTGATAAGACATTTACATTTACATTTAGTCATTTAGCAGATGCTTTTATCCAAAGACAAGACAAGTTCTTAAGACATTAACATTGACTCTAAAATAAAATCTTAACATATAGGCTACGTTTATGCAACTGGCCCCTGACCAATGCAAAGCCACTGTACACTACTAAAGAGAAGGTGTTGAAAAAAGTTGCCTGTTTCACAGTCTGTTAATATCTAGTGATATGACACCTTTTTTTCCCCACTTTCTTTCCTCACCCTCTTCCAATGGCAGGTTCAAATCCTGACTCCAGTAGTTAGTCTTACTTAAAGGGTTACTCCACCCCAAAATGAAAATTTTGTCATTAATTACTCACCCTCATGTTGTTCCAAACCCGTAAGATCTCCGTTCATCTTCAGAACACAAATTAAGATATTTTTGATGCATTCAGTGAGCTCTCTGACTCTCCCATAGACAGCAATGTAAGTAACACGATCAACGTTCAGAAACGTAGCAAGGAGATCGGTAAAATAATCCATGTGACATCAGGGGTTCAACCGCTTTTACATAATACATTTTAAGTCATGAAAACTAGAATATTAAGTTTAATAAAAAAATTTGGTTCATATGCAATTTTGTTTAGGTGTTATACAAAAAAAAAGCCACCGGGTGCCACCCAAACTCCATTGATTTTTATTTGATGCATTTCTGTCACAAATCTATCAATTTCTATCACAAAATAACCACCAAATATGGAATCTTGAGACTCACACCTTTCCAACAATATGTATTTTGTCAAGTTTATAAAAAGTTTTGATCTTAAAAGACCGTAATACATGTTGTAATATGACACTCCCTCTAAGGGGGAGGAGACCGCTACAAGATTTTGAAGTGCCATTTCTATGGTAACGCAATGTCCGATTTCAAAATGGTTTTCATAGGATGCATTTTGAGATTTTAAGCTTTCAAATAGTATATAACTTATGATGATTACTAAAACATGTGATAGGGAAAAAGGCAACGAATTAAAGACTTTTTGTGACAAAGGTCAAAACTCCTGTTATGATGTAGATTTGTCATAGACTCTTGGTGTACTCTTGTCATAAATTAATCTATTACTGTTCCTAATATAATTTGTAACAAAAAAAAATCTATTTAGGAGTCTTATAGACCTTTCCAATGATATATAGTTTGTCATGATTACATTAGGATTTAATTGCAACCCTCTACATTGCGAGTAAACCACTCGCATATGCGACTAAATCTTACTCTGGGCGACTAAATAATGTTTAACATTAGCCATTGGCTAATAAATTCTTAGATTTTACACGCCAGTATGTGTGTGAGAGGCGTTCAACACAGATTTTCACTCATAAACACGCTGACTGAGCGCTTGAGAGTTTCGCTCTCCGTCAAGCGATCTGTACCATTTGGATGCGCTCAATGGATCATGTCACGTACTCAATGGATGCGCAGTATGTACCACGCAGCGCACCTGTATTTGACGTACTTTTGAGAAAGTAAAAATGCACAAAGTTTCCTGTAAGGGGTAGGTTTAGGGGTAGGGTTGATGTAGGGCAATAGCACATACAGTTTGTACAGTATAAAAACCATTACGCCTATAGAATGTCGCCATAAAACATGGAAACACAACATGTTTTAACCATATTTTGGGGACAAATTTGTACCCATAAGTGAGCAAAGCCTGACAAAATCGGCAAAAACCTCATTTGTAAAACTGCTAATAAAGTAAACAAAGTTTTTTTTTACTTTTGAAATGGTAAAAATGCAGAAAGTTTTCTGTGAGGGGTAGGGGTGGGTTTAGGTTAAAAAGTGTATAACTATCTGTATATAAAAACAATAGAAGTCTATGTAATGTCCCCATTTAGATAGCTAAGTAAACGTGTGTGTGTGTGTGTGTGTGTGTGTGTAAAATAGTATATCAGGCTGGCGAGTAAACAAAAAAATTTACTAGCCAATGGCGATTATATTGCCAAGGTGTGCGTAGAGGGTTGAATTGTAATATAGTGAAGTAAACCTAGGCATCCCCGTATACTGGACGGTGACAGTTTTAATGAGCCAGATTTGAGGATCCCTGATATAGGTCGATTTGCTTTTCAGAGGCTGTTTGAAAATGCCCCTTTCAGCCAAGTCCTCCTGATTCTGAAGTTGAGCGTGAGATAAAGGTGTGGTTGCAGAATTCAATAGACAGAGCGGGTGGACGAAAAGAGCGCTACCACCGTCTGCTGACTAGTTGAGAGACTTCGGGGGAAGATTGAGCTTCAATGAATACTTTAGCACATCAAAACATATTTTCAGCAGAGGTCAAAGTAATAATTTGGTATTTTTTTTATTTTTATGTTAATTTGATTATTAACCTGAATTGTATGTTTTCTATTTTGTATTTAATAAATCCATTGATTTGAAATCCCTTTTTACTACTGTACATTTTTGACAATACAGATATTAATTATGTGGTGACTGCAACCATTTCAGATATATAATAACTGTTTTTCCCAAAAACTTAAGTTATAGTAGCTAAAAAGTATTTATAGTGAAACAGATTTATTGTTGTAGACAGTGGTGTAATTTACATAATTTAATATAGTTAACTTAATCGATATCACACAAAGAGTACCGTTTTTTTGCAGACATCAGCATGAACACATTTAATAATCATTTTATACAAGTTCAGTAAAGCAATAAGTGACTTTTAGACATAATATTGCTTGTTTTTGCTCAATTTTACCAACAAAAACAGTTCCAAACAAAGATCCCAGCACTGTTTTGTGTCTCTGAGCAATGGACGGTGTTTACTTATTGAATGAATCAGCTTTTTGAACGAATCGGTTGAATAAATGATTCACTCATTAACACAGTCAAATGCTTTGTTTCTGAATGAATCAGCCGTTTGAATGAATGGGTTGAATCTCAATGACTCACTCATTAACAGTCACTTGCTGTCACCTACTGGTGGTTTTAATTTCACATTTCGACTTTTTTCCTGTTTTAAATTATTTCAGATATCAGTATTCAACATTTTATGTTACAAACAAAACATTAGGCCTATTTATGCATCTGTAACTGCAGTTTAAATGCATCCATGTCCCCTCTGAGCTACATTAAACTGTGTAAATACATCTAAATGCCACTTCAGATGCAGATTCCAGAAATGTTTTCTTATGTTGGAATGAAAGACACTGAAAGACACTAAGTACCGGATGAAGTGCTTCTTATTCTTACCCAAAAATACAAAATGGAAGAAAAAGTTAAAACTGAACACAATCTTGCTACTCAAGCTGTGTATGAACATTATATATACTGTATATAGATTAAAAAAATACTTAAGTACAATAAATATCACATACTTTAAGACTTTTACTCAAGTAATATTCTAAACGTTCTAAACGGTTTCTACCAAAGTCATTTTCTGGTAAGATATCTGTACTTTTACTTGAGTATGGCTTTCAGGTACTTTATACACCACTGATACTATGTGCTCTGTGTGTGTTCCTGCCTGCCCTATGTTACCCGTGTGGAT